ACAGGCAATAATATAATTAATAATATATAATAATCTGATAATCTGCAACAAGTGATAATGTAGTGACCTTAAAAAAAAAATCTATAAAAACATTAGGGGTTGATGACAGAGTTGAACAGGTACACATGGCTTTGATGCAGGATGTGAACATCTCCAGTGAGTTCAGGCTGTGGCTCCCCCTCAGTCTGGGCATGTGCAGAGCTCCACTGCGGTGCTCTGCACAGAGGAGAGACAAAGACAGAGTTAGGACAGTGAGCTGCTCAAAGGCTTCTTGCTATCTATGGTCATTCACTGCTATAAGGCAAAACAGGATGGCATGATATAAGCCTGTTTGTACAGGAACCAACATAAAAGGCATATAGTAGTGTGTAAGACCAGTGTTCCCAGTGCTTATTGCAGGCCTCACCTGTAATAATACAGCCAATGTTTTGTTTATGCTGTGAACTCAAAACAAATATTACTGTTGTTTTTACTCTGAAGATCTACTGTAAGTTTTATTTTCATTCTCACCAAATCCATGTTCACTTAGAAAAGTTTTAAAATAACTCAGTGCAGGCCTATTATTTCCAATAATTAATACGTACGTTACTTAAGAATCTTTAGAAACATATTTGGTCAAATGGTGAAAGCAAAAATTAAGCTGGGACACTAAATAAAACAAAAATAGGCTATACATTTAGCTACAATGACGGGACAACACGCAGTTATCCTCTATAGTTTCTATGTAAAATGGTGATGATTCATCTTAAAATAACATTCCTTAGTCTGTATTTTCAGATAAATATTTAATATCTCGGAAGGAGGAAATTCTTCCTGGATAAGGTGGTGCTTTGCCATAGGCGTCTGAAGCAGTAACGGAGTACACTCGTTCCTGCGGGCGTAATCTCTCTCTCTGCCTTAAGTTGCTGAGGTTTCAGAACAGGTGGAACATAAATGGCTCAGCGTGTGCACCTCAGAGTCGTGACGCACCCTGGTATTTCTAAAGCCTGTCATCCATTTTGTGGGCAATGATGACGATAGTGGTTAAAGGGGGTGGCAAACTCATGTGTTGGTTAAAAGAGACATCATGTGGACAAAAGTGAAACTGCAACATGTGAGTTTTCGCTGGTCAGTTGAAAGTGGGGAGCGGCCCGGAGTCCTTTTAACATTCACATAGCCTATAGTGGAGAGCGGGGGCGGGGGGACTTTTGTAAAATCCAGGAGTAATTTTAACAGAATGGATAAGGTTCTTTATTATAGGCCTAATGAAATGAGACCTTTATTGTATGAGGAAATATTGTATTACGTGGCTCGGGAAAAGAAACTGACTAATGTCAAGGTAAATCACACCTGAATGACCTCACAGATTGGAACGCAAGCTCGTGGCTGTAAGTGACACCGCGGTCTTCTTATTTCAGATGGGATCCTTTTCAGTTGCTCTCTGGCCTTCGACGCCCTAACGCCACACTGCATTCCCGAGAAACTGTAGACCGTCTTGGGGTTGCGCAGGTGCCAGTGTCCAGATCAGCCTACTGCGCAGGGTCACGGTTAGGTCAAGGTCGTCTAATCCATTAGTCCAGTGGCTGTGGAGTGGGGATTGTTAAACAAGTGATGCACTTAGTAGGATTTCTAGCTAGACATCTTCCTTGATACAGCTTCCTGAGAGACAGCCATACGTGTAGGCTATGTAAGACTAGTCTTTGAAAAAGAAACTTTGTTCGTGGTCTACACAGCAAATTCAAGTGTTAATTCAACTCATATATTGTTAATTTTAACACTTTTACCACGTCATATGGGGTCCACAATAAAATGAGTTAAAACTACACTTTCTAAAGTGTAGAAGGCTCAACACTGGCAAAATGATGTAACCACACTCCTTAGTTGAATTTGACACTGATTAAGATTTGATTTTTTTACACTAGTGTATAGTGAAAAACTAATAACTCTATATTGTTATGTTTTAACACTTTATGAAGTAGAAATAGTGTAGAGTGTTCTTCGTGTTCGTTTTCTTCACTAAAGTGTAAATACTGTGGTCATTCTAGTTCATAATCCCTTTTACAAATGTAAAACAATAAAAAACACCACAAAATTTCATTTCAACTTAACTTGTATTAAAACAATGCACATCATACAATCAACACAATTTGCACAAGTCATATGACACAATACTATTTTTGCAAAATACAACTGACAGCTGGATTTCTCTGTGCCCTCAACAGTTGGTCACAATGATTGTCATTTATTTTTTTTAAAGTAGATTTTTCAGTGCAAGCAGTCGATGGATGAATCAAGATCTTGTTTTGAATGGAATTCAGGCTCATCTCCAAAAATGAGAGGAGCATGTCTGACTGTTTGAAACAAGATCTTCTCTATATTATATAAACATAACAATGTTCACAATAGAGGCAGTCCTGCTAATTATGAAACATTAACATTGCAAAAACTTTTTACCTCAAGAGTCAGTCTTTCACGCTTAGGGTTTCTTTTGACACATCTAATGTACATGTTGTAGACAGCTCTTTGAATACACGTGTAAAGTTTGTGAGAGTCTGAGGACCAAGTGCCTTGAAGTGTTCACCAAATTCAGCCAGGTCAACAATGACAGAAAAAACCTTTGTCCTTTCCACTTCAGTCACTGGTAGAAAGGCTGTCCAGGCTCAACCAGCAAGAAATGTGTCCATATCGATCTGTAAAATAAAATATAGACTAGAATAAATATAACATATTCAAGTAACCACCTTGCAAAATGGGCTATGCAATATTTAATGAGCCATGAATAAAAATTAAAAAGTAAATTAAAAGTATATATATTATGGTGCATATATCATTATTTGTTTGTGCCTATTAAGGAGGTTATTCTGTTGCATGTATGTTTTTATATACAGGAACCATTCAAATAAATAACTTGAAGGGTAATTTGAAAAAATTTAGCCCCTTAGAAAAGATTATTTTTATAAAGACCCACAAGAAACAAAACACCTAAATGCCATTAATCACAAAAATAGAATGAGATTAAGGCAACAATTACAACTACTTAGCACATATATTAAATTCAATTAGTCAATTACAAAATTATTGGTGAGGTTACATTTCAATTCTACATTTAACCATGTCATGACATACCTGCAAATCTCTGACGAGAAGGCTTGAGCCTTCATCTTTCCACTGTAGCCTTTAGGAGCTGGGGATGCGTGTGAATCAGCAGCAAGACACTCACCCTAAAGAAAATACAAAAAAAGAATGTATCATTACAATTTTTGACTAAAGGTCAATAGCATGTTAAGACACTGTATTGGGTAAGACATCATACTTGAAGATATTTTATTTTTACTAAATACTACTAACCTTTTGATTGAATTCAATTTTAATAATTCTCCTCTTGATACAATATCCTACCTCAACACACCACACAAAAGTGTGCACGTTTATAAGATATTATTAAAAGAAATGTGAATACAGCGAAAGAATGCAGCCCCAAAGTGTGAAAAACACGGTGAAAACTTGGAAGAGCTAAGTATTTGCTTAGTATTTGCTAAGCTTTGTATGTAGGAGACATTATTTTACCACCAACATTTTTGTATTTATCACTTGAAATAGCTCCTAAATAGCTCCTAACTGTCCTAAATCATCGTTCATCAATCATCAGCGTTACATACACTGAGTGTAGGGCAGGCCTGTCACAAGGATTTCTATGACCTAATACATTTACTTGAGTCACTATTTACAGATATTGTACTTTCTTCCCACTGTGAATATACCATACATGAGTACTATTTCATGTTTCATCCTCGCAATTGCATTAACTTTAAATGACGAATCAGATGTTTTGTCCAGTTACTTTTAACTTAAGTTACTTGAGGAGTAATTTCCCCGAATATTTTTACTCTTAGCCACTTAACACATTTTTTGAACTTCTAGTTTTTACTTAGACTTGAGAAATATTTTTTTGAAGTAACGTTACTTTAATTTGTGAGCATTTTACCCAATTTTCATGGACATCAGTGACAGCAACATTGACGTAAATTAGCTTACTACTACTCAATACGACTTCTAGCGTTTAGTATTTTTATGAATTAAATTAACTGCAGAGTGTCCTAAAAAGGTAAAGTAATCTGACCCAGGGCATGTGAGGGCTCAGGTGGTTGGACTTGAGGCTCGTTGAGTTCAGGTTCTTCTGAAAAACAAACGCTATTAGCTGTTAGCTTTGCGCTGTTAGCTCTTAGCTTAGCTTCGGACAATGAAATGTGGCTTCTCTCTCGGACTGTAGTTCTCCCGCTGGAAACGTTACAAAAGCCCAACACTGATGTAGTGTAATATTCAAAATAGACACTTTCTAAGTGTTTGACGTTAACACTGTGAATCAACAACTACTTATTTTATTCGACAGCACTGTCATAGTTGAAATAACTCTTGACTCTGTTGAAACATATCTGAATTTTCTTCACTGTATTCACAACAACACCAGCACGAATGTAACACTTTTGAATTTGCTGTGTACTTGTGATTTTTTTTATTTTATTATTATTATTTTTTTAATTATTAAACCAATTAAGATTCATCTTACATAATTTAGACTTGTGTTATTTTAGGATTTTACGTGGATAACCCTGGTAAGCAATGCTTGTCTTAAAAGTAGACCTATATGTTAGGCTATATAATAATCTAATAAACAATTTTCCCTTCCCTTCCCTTTGAGTTCCACTTAACTGATGTGTATTTTAACGAACACACGGTGGCAGTACACGTATCACAGATAAGAAGCTGTGCAACGAACAGTCTAACTGGGAGCGCTTTTCAAATCCTGTACAAACTTACTTTTATTAGTTTGCTAACTAGATGGCATTTCATTTCCAGCAAGGTCTTTACATTTTTATGAGAGCACAGTAGCCTAACTGTTTTACTCTTGTCGCTAATTCACAAATGTGTTGAGGAGTGGGAGGGTTTGACTCTGTTGGCACTTTATTCATTGGATTGGGAGCCGCAAATCATTTCACGATCCACAAAGTTGTGCGTCGCTGAAAGAGCAGGTCCACTGGAGATATGCTGGTTACGCGCAGCGGGAGCCCTCTCCTGCTCACCGTCACATGTGTGTGTTTCTCACGAGGACTACTCTGGTCCTACCTGGAAGAGGCTGTTTCAGACGGGTATGACTCTAAAATATTTCGATACAAACATTTTTTGACTTGGCTTTATTCTAATATAGGCCAACGCTTTACAGTGAGAAATGCTCGGAAAATAATATTGCCACAACGATATACCCTTGCCTGAAGTCCACAGGAGAAATTACGACATGCCACAGGTAACCGATATGATTTGTTAGCTTCTATCGATTAATATTACTTTTTAATAACGACAACCTTTCATGAAAAGGGACCATGATGTTTACTTATTGGTAATTTGGTGCATAGTATAATAATACTTTAAGCACTTATACATATTTTATTCTTTAACTGACTAACTACAAAGGAAGGTCTAATTTTCATTTAATTTTTTTACATTTGCAAAGATCTTTTGAGCAGCACCCTACTACTGGGGCATTTTTTAAGAAAACTGGCCTGTTAAAACGTAATCTTTCTAACTGAAAATGGCACATGAAAATTAGACTATAAAACACCAGACCTGGCTTTTACACATAGACATAGTTGAGTAGGATCCAAATGGAAATTGTGAATTCAAATTTAGGCAAATTAAAACCAACTGTGGTTATTTTGTGGAAAATGTCTTTATTTTGTTTTGGAAAGACACCCATTGTGATTGATTGTATAAATCTATTTTTGCCTTTCTTATTGTGGGAAAAGATTTGAGATCAGCAGTCACGCAGAATGTTTACTGTGTGCAGATTTTTTCCACATGTTGTCTTGTCCAATTTTATTCGTCTATTTCCTGACAAACTGCTGGACGTGACTCAACTACACAACAGTGATGTGTCTTTTGATCTTCACATCTCAGACACACTCTTAACGTAATTATGTTGCTTTATGGTCACTGGCTACGGTCACAGTTACTTCACACAGTGTTTGTTTAAAGAAGAAAAATGGTTTTAGGGGAGTGCCAAGTGACTGTGTTGCTGTGAGTTCAGTTCACCTGTGTGTTGCAAGCTGGCGCCTGCCAATCCGCTCTCTCCATTGCCAAAGCTTTAGATAGATGATCTGATTTTGTTAAGATGATCTGGAATATTTGCCTAATCCTGTTTATCTTAAAATATTATTTTTGACAGTATTATTGGGCCAATGTAGTACACAGTGTGTAGTCATGTTTGGTCTTCAGTTTAACTCCATAATAAGGCTATCACCATAATTTGTTTAAACTGTTGCCCTGTTGGAATTTCCTTAGCTTCAAATTATTTCTATCTTCCAAAGCCATTATTAATGTTACTGTTGCAGTATTTTGGCTGAAATGGAGCTGAAGGCTCTTACAAAGGATTTCAAAGTATGACCCCCTCAATCTCCTCAGGGCACATTTATCATATTGTGAAGACCATTACAAGAAAGAGCATGGAGCATAAGTTACAGAGAGGACCAGAGAGCTGCCACAGACAGGCTGACCTAGACCCCATCAGTCCCCCATCAGTCTATAAAGTCAGTGACCAGGCGTTCTTTTGATGTGTCTTTAAACCAAGACATTATTCCAGTGAAAATTTAAACAATTTCAGAACTAGTAAATGCAAGAATATTGTGTAATAAGACAATATAGTCTGAATAGTTTGACTCAGCTTGGCAACAGGCAATACACAATGCCCAGGATTAGTTTGAACCAAATATCGTTGGTAATTCATTTTGGTAATTAAAAAACTATTCTCTCAAGTCAGAAGTTGGAGCAGGTTATAATTAATCTTAGAGCCTTTGCTCTTATTCTGTTATGCTAGATGTTGCATTTTTAAACACATTTATTTCATTTGAACAGACAGAAGAAAAATACAAATTATATCTGTAAATATAAAGATCAAAACTATAAATAGAGCTAGGTTTGAAAAATGCCAAGTTTTGTTGGCATAGATGCAAAATATTTTACAAGGGCGTTTAGTTGCACAGATAAAGATGCTAGTTAAAATCCACACACTACACTGTTAAAGAATTACCAGTTATGCATTATGCTTGTTTGTGCGACTGGTAAGACTACGAGTAATTTTATGTGCAGTTCTATCTTTACTATATTACTGCTATAGCCATGTTAACATCACTCCAAAACAGACCCTATAGACTGTCTGTATACCTTGATGATATAAATAGCATTTGCACACGCTGCAGTGCTGTTTACCACATACGCTTGTTCCAAAACAGACAATTATAGATTATGCAGTGTGTGTGCTATTTATGAGCTAGGTCACTATTCTAAAGCCTTTGGGTGTTCATTATTTCACATTGACAGTGTTGAAGAAGATACATACAGTTTTAGCATATCTTTTTTTATGTTGAGATTTACTTCATGTTTTTACATTTTCACACAAAGTGTGGGAGTTGAACTCACTACATCCCGCTAAAGTTCATCTAAATGACAGCTAGAGCCTAAATTATAATATGAAGTGTGGGGGTGCTCTGTCAAAGTGTGAATCCCATCCACTTGCTGCTCCTCAGAAAGTCGGAGCAGGGGTGTGTAAGTCATCAGAGGAAAGAAGGGAGGACATGTTAGTGTTAAGGAGCATTCCTCACTGACAGATGCAGAGTCCAAACAGCAGCAAAGACCCTCAATCTTTCTCTATATGCTCATATTTAGGATTTACAAAATACAAGTACCGCTCTTTAAAGTGCATTGTGCAACTTTTCTAGTGGAGGGTCCATTATTGCTTTGCCTGGAATATTTCACAGTATGGCATTAAACCTTTCTATCATCATGAAGACCTAACCAGATCAAGTTAAAGGTCAGATCAGTGGAGAGGCAATCTTGCTCACAGTCAGAATGCCTGATTTTGAGCTATAAACCACCTGTAATTGAACATGTAAGGTAGAGTTATTTAATGTCACACTGTGAAATATTCAAAGAAGAGCATTGACATAGCCATAGAAACAAGAAAACCCCTCATCGAAAGGTTACATAGTGCACCTTTAAATCGAATAGAGAACATAATGGCAAGACAGATTAACGTCACAGTGTTTTATCAGTATCACAAGACATTATTATAAAGATAACGTTACATTTTAAATCCTTGGTCTTTTGCAAAAGTTAACAATTTTCATTGGGATTATCAAACAGAATAAGAGAAATGTTTGAGTGAGAGAGGGGGAGGAAACGTTCACATGTTCAAAGCTTGGGTGGATTAGAGAGTGGAGTTTGAGGCCTGCACTGTAGCTTTGCTATTAGTGGAAATGGAAATGAGTGAAATATATTTGCATAAATGAAACATACTGTACTTCTATAGCAGCCCTACTTTCACTCCTTTTGTACAGACTAGGTGCATGAGTAGACCCACACTTAAACATTGCAAGCCTTTAGTAGGTAGAATTGACTGCTCCAGTGCCCCAGTGATCATAGCTGTACAATTTACTACCATTATAAAGATCCTATATTATGCAAGATTTTTTGACTATATTATTATTATTTATGTTGTTATCTTCAAGATCCTACAATTATGCTTTCATATGTGTATTTTTCCTGCAGATTTGGTCTTGCACACGCATCACATCAACCCATAAATTGAACTCTAGGCTTTAGGTATCCAAAGAAATTTATAAAAGCCTGAAAATGCATAATATAGCTCTGTTACTATATGAATGTGTTATTTTACTGACTTCATGCTAATAGAAAGTGTATGGCAGTGTGCTACATCAAAGATAGCAGCCCTATTGTGGACTTCTTGTGTGGTCCAACTTCACATCCAGACGGCGTGGATTGTGGTTATACTTGTCTTATCAAATCACATGAATTTATTTACAGATTGTTGTTGCTCCAAAGTTGGCACCTTTCCCTTGGCCTGATACTAACTCCCTCATTTAGAATTTGCTCTGCAGTCATGCTTGGTCATTCTGTCAGATATCTTGGAGATGTAATAAAACCACAGTTCATGGTCTGTAGAGTTGTGGTTTGTTGTGTATTTACCTTGACATTGATGTAGTTTGCATTTATTGTTTTTCATTTACAAAACATACTTTTTTATAAAGATTAAAGTTCACTCAAATACCTTGCTGATGACAAGCTCATTGGATCATGTGAATGTGTGAGGTGCATTTTCTGCCACATGTTAGATCAACTAATTTCGAGTAAGACCAGTTTATTTAACATTTATTGGAGAGTCAGGAGCACAGCCAGGCATGGAAAAGCTTCAGATGCACCAATGAACTTACAGCCATCACAGATGATGCTTTAGTGAAAAGGGAAAATCCCAAAGTAAAAACTTGTTATGTGATTTTCTAATGTAAAAATCTGAATGATGCCCCAAAGGAAATATAAAAGAATGAAAAAAAACAACAACCCAAAAAACATTACACCCTGTAGCCTTCACATTAATTATTCTAAAACTACATTAGGTCAGGTCTCCTGAAAAGACATAAAAAAGAATTATAATCCAGGAACTCAACCTTCCCACACTGCAGACCCAAACTTAAATCATTTTTTTCAGTAATCACTAAACCAGAGTAACAGTGGGTCTAGAATCCATCTTTACTTCACTTTCAAAAAGCCTGTTCCTCTTTAACAACTGTAAGAGAGACTTCCCTAACCAAATAAATGAACTATATTGATTTGTGTTAACAGCACCAGACAGGGAAAGCTTTGTCATTAGGCTTCAATTGATTCCAGATTGATTGAGAGGTTTCCTGTCAGTGCAGCAATTCTTTCAATTTCTTTGTAAACCAAGCTGAAAATACAAGATGGTGAAGTACAAGAAACACTTCACTCAAGTAACTTAGTAATACTAATGTAATCACATCATCCTCGTGTCAAAATAATGTATATCACTCTTTTCCAAAGCCTATATGTCACAGATTATGATTCATTCACATTAGTTTTTGCAGCAGCTAAAGCTGTTTGCCTCTTACATTATGCATAGCTGACCTATAAGTATACATCCTATGCATCTTGATGATTTGAAAAATGTATATAATACCCATCCCTGCTTCACCAGTTATCTCTATATGAGCCAGCGCAAGCTTGGTTTATTACACTCAGCTTTTAAGTTTATTAAAATAATTTCAGCATTATTATTACAAGTCACTATCTTCTAAACCTCCAATATTATTATAACTATTATAGCTTTCCATACTGTACCTGGCCCTCATCCAGAGGCAAGTTAGAAACATATGGAAGTTTATGATCATTTAATGTAACAAGTCTTGGACAGCGGTGCACGCTATAATTTCCTGAGGTGTCAGACTCACAGATATTGTATGTGACTTAACACTTACCCTCTGCTTTGTCTGTGTGATATTAACATCTAGACTCTAACACAAAACAGACAGGGATATTTGGGATATTTTCTACTTTATATCAGAAGAACTCTCTATAAGAGTTTTTTGTTTGTTTGTTTTGTTTTTCTAATATAGTAGCTAAAGAGTTAATGTTGCTATGCCAGCACAGTATGCGCACTGAGTATAGCCAAAACTATCTGTTAACACTGGAGTAACACGTTAAGGCATACAGCAAAGTAGCTTAACTGTAATGCGTGTGGTTACTGCCTATGTTGATGTAAGTATTGGCCATATAGTCTGCTGCCTGTAGCCTTTGTCACCTTTGCTACCAAATAAGACCAAAGAGTTTTTCTCTTCATTTTAAGATATAAGCAAATTCAACTCTCAAAATCAAATCAAATTAATAACTGTGTTAAAATTTAAACTGCATTACATTACATAAGCAGTGCAAGCATGAAACTCTGTAATTAGCCATTTATTGCACTATTAAATTACTCTTAAAAGATGATTTGCTTAAAGCACATCTGGAATTAGTGACTTCAAATGGAGTAGTGTGTTTTGACAGTATTCAGTGGAGACTTCTTGTTTATTTTTCAAGCATTAAACCAAAACATTTGAACAATTGTGGGTCTTTAACCAATGCCTTTTGTTAATGTTGCATGGTTATAAAGAAACAGCCTCTCTTCAAATTATGGCAAATATTTTGGAGGTTAATAGTGCTTTCTTGATCATTTTAAATCAGATATGTGATATATTGTTGATTTTTGAGAAAAAAAAGACAGATATGACCCGTCATTTCCACATCTTTCCTGGTCCCTGGTTTAAAGCTTGCAGCAGGAATGTCTTAAACAGCTGAGTTGTTGTTGGAGGCTTTGACACGTCCCTTTAGCTTTCACTTTGAGGACTGCTGCTCAGGGCTTAAGGGGGGGACTGAGCACTTTAGAAGTTGTCTGAAATGGAATGGTTTCAGCTGACAGTGTCATCTTATGGGACAAAAGCACTTTACTCTAATATAGTTAAATATTTCAGACATTCCACCTCAAACTATTTTAATATAATTTAGATTCAATAGTGTAAGCTGAACCATCATTGAAAGGACTGCCTTATTTTTTGGTAAACAACAATACCAGTGATTCCGACTTGTATATTTTTAACAGACAAACTGACCTTTCCACACATGCATTCCTAGTGCAATCCACTGAAAAAACATCACAACATGTACACTATGTACTCATAAAACTCCTTAACGTTTTTGTACTTTTTTTTACTTGTCCCTCATGTATTTGTGGGTTTATGCATTATGCACTTGATGTAATTACAAATGCTAGGCTGTTTTTTGAATTGGTCAATTCATTAAATTTACTGTTGTTACTACTGTCAGATCTCGATGATTGATGTAATTTCACTTTCACGGATTTCATAACTGTTTGGGATAAGAGATTTCAGTAATTGCATAATAAGAGTTTAGGAATAGAAGTTTGTTTTTTTCTGTAAGGCAAGGCAAGGCAAGTTTATTTGTATAGCACAATTCGTACACAAAGTAATTCAAAGTGCTTTACAGAATAAGAAATACATTAAAATCATAATAAAAACAAATCAAAACATAAATAATCATGAAGATTAAAATTAAAAAAGAGAGACATAAATTGGAGAGAAGAGTGCGGAATGAAAACCTTTCAGTTATATGCACAGTTAAACAGAAATGTTTTGAGTCTGGATTTAAACAGCGTCACAGAAGAGGCCTGTCTCACATGTTCAGGAAGACTGTTCCAGGTTTTAGCTGCATGAACCTGAAACGCTGACTCCCCTTGTTTAGTCCTGACTCTGGGCACCAGCAGGAGGCCAGTCCCTGAGGTCCTCAGAGTGTGAGATGGTTCATATGACTGTAGATCACTGAGTGTAAAATGTTCTTTCCCAAACAAATGTAATGAACTGTATCACTCTGAGATTTGTCCCAAGTTCCATGTTGAGACCCAGAGGGAATGTTATATGTTGATTAATAATTACTTAAGTTATGATGGACACTTGACCAGCACAGCCAAGTCTTTTCCATCTTTCTCATATGGTTGCTTTTTAATTTCAATTCAAGGACACTGAGTTGACCAAAGGGAAGATGTTTGTTTATAATTAAGCCCTCGTGGTTAAGCAGACTGGTAAAGGTCAGACTTCCGTGGAGTTAAACAGTTAAACAAAACAATATGAGGGTCAAATAGGGCACAGGTGGACAAATACTCAAATTGTAGTCTCTAAGAACAAATGTTTAAGTTAGCTAGATTGGCCATGATTTTACAGTTGTGTATAAATATATTAAGGACTAACACATAATCAATACTTTTGAGATTTGCTCTTTTGAAAACTGGGATAAATATAGGCAGAGCTCAGTAGTGCTTTATGAAATCTGTATGTATGTATGTATTTCCAGGCTGAACATAACATGTCAACTTGCTTTCTCCACTTGAGCCACTTAACATTCTGGTAAGCAGTGATTGTACTGCAAGAAGTAATTATGAGATTAGCTGTTGACATAACAGCAAAACATAATCATTTGACAGGAAATCTTTGAAATGTTTGAACAATATGAACTGACTAAAAACGTTTTCAGTGTGCAAAAAGGCCCACTTATGCTTGCCTTTTTATTTACGATTCTGGACTCAAGATTCTTTGTCGGAGTGCACTGACCTTGAGGAAGACATCTTATCAACAGGAGTCTTTAGTTGTCAGATCACTACCATCGCACTCTCCCCTGTGCTCTCTGTGTTCTTTATAAAGAATCACTGTTTAATGTCATACTGTGGAACATTTTAGGCAAAGCAATGCCATATCCACAGAAACAAGCAGGTGACGTACTCCCAGCCAAACATAGTAAGTAGTAGTGCACCTTTAAGCCCCCCAAAAATATTGTTCTAACTTTCATTTATTGAAGTGAATAGAGTCACACAGTTGGAGATAAATGCAACTGGTCATATTTAGAAAGATATTTAAACTACTGTCCGGAGCTGAAATATCTAGACATTCTATTCAAAGTGATATGTGAGAGCCGGACATGGATGCTTGTTTTTGTTTCATTGTTCGTCCTCCCTATAATTATTAGTTTTTGGTTGGATATTTACTAAGTGCTCTTCCAACCTTATATGGCTGTTATTTAGACATGAAATACAAAGTTTTATTCTTTATTATATTGTTATATTATATTTATTTATTTATATTTTTATTTTTTTTACTTTACTGTTACTTTAGTGGATAAAATAAATAAATAAAATATTTGCAGAGTATGTCATCTTTTACTTCCACTATCAAAGTCCTGCATCTGTTTTACAATTACTTCATACTATTATTGTATTTTTTAAAATGGCACCTGGTTACATTTATGGAGCTCTCCATATTAAAGGGACAATCCTTTAAATTAATCTTAGTTTAAGTTTTACAACAACAGCAATCACAATGAGTTATTTTCTTTGTAAATCCTTAAAACAACGCAGACTCCTAATCATTGCCAATTAAGACAAATCTTTGAGTAGACTGTGAAACCTTATATGGTGGAACACTATGTGAGTTTATAAATGCAATATATGATTTATTTTTCCAGAAAAAAATGCTGTAAAGGATTCAAGTTTGTGTTGGGGCACTGCATTCCTGAAGGTAGGGGACAGCTGTGTCACTGATGCTCTGTATTGTTTTTTTAACTTATTATTACACTTTTTTTTTCCAGATTATGATGTGTGTGCTGGCGCCCCCTGTGAGCAACAGTGCACAGACCATTTTGGACGTGTTGTTTGCACCTGTTACCCCGGTTACCGGTATGACCGTGAACGTCACAGAAACCGAGAGAAGCCCTACTGTCTAGGTAATAATGCCTATTTGTACTGGATTTTTTTTGTGACCTGCAATCACGTGCATGATTACACAAATATTCATGATGATCATAGTAGTGTGTTATGTGTGTGTTCTAGAAATGTTATCTGTTTCCTTAGTCCCCCACACCACTCTAAATATAACTTTTAGAGTTATCACAACATCACGATTTAACCAAAGAATACTAAAAATCTTTAATTTTCTTCCATTCCCCTTCTCTAATAGATTAATACAGTTTTATGAATTAAACTCTCTGAATGATATAACAGTCAGATACATTTTTAAATTAACTTTTTTAGACAATGACACTTTATGCATTATTTTCATGTTTGAGATTTGTATGATTTCTGTAAAGACTACTTTTTATGATTGTAACTTGCTTGTTTGAACAGACATTGATGAATGTGCAGACAGAAACACCAGTGTCTGTTCTCAGATCTGCATCAACACATTTGGGAGCTACAAGTGTGAATGTGAGAAGGGCTTTTTCCTGGAGGAAGATGGGAAAACGTGCACCATGGGAGAGAGAGGTAAGAGGCCTTCTTCACTGGCACATTGGACCAGTGTTATTAATCGCATTGTGAGAAACGTGGGGTTGGGGGGGTATGACAAACACAGACACCTGGTAGTCATTATACATCCAGTCTTTGAACTTGTCAGAAGAATTCTGTCTCTTTGGCACATGGCTAACCTTGTGACTCCAAGTCTTTTCTCATTTGCTCTCTGCATTTGAGTACAACATCACAAATGTTCAGGCAATAAAAAGGGGTTTTCTCCAGGTTCAGTTGCCAATGAAGCAGTTGGAGGTGGTGGAATTGTAATTTCCCTCTTTCACTTTATCTTCCATTACCTTAACCACTCAGGCAAAGCTGTAGAGTATGTATAGTCATGGTTCTGCTTTATGTCCTGCTGTTTCCAACACTGTACAGAAGGTAGTGTCCAGACTCTTTCATTCATGCATTAAATGTATGCAGTTGTAAGGAAGGGCTCATTACCACAGGCTTACATTTTTCTTATTTATTCAGAATGCCCTGAACATAAATGTGACCAAAATGTTATTTCTGTGGTTTAAAATATAACATGGTGGATACCCTAGCAGATGAATCACAAAAGTCCTTTGAAATTATCAATAACATTTTGCATAACCTTCCAGAATAGAAAATACATCTTTGATTTGATTTCAAAATTTATTTTTTCTGTGTTTTATTTAGTGGGACTTTTTGAAAAGTCAGAAAATGTGATGAACGCTGAAACATGCTCAGCTACCTGTGATGATTTCCACCAGATAAAGCTGTCCGTCCTGCATCTCAAACAGAAGGTTGATAATGCATTTTTCCCTTTTGCTTGTAAATATATGCCTACACAAAGGACTATGTCAAATGATGGGTACATTGAAAGTACTCTGCACTCTGCACATCTTAAAATCAACAAAACCACTGTCTTGAATGTTGACCTAGGGTTTGTGGTTTGATCTCTGCTTATGACTATAACTACTGTTGAGTGCAGGCATTGAACAGGGCATTGCATTAGGGAAAGTAAAAACTTTCAAAGAGTTATTTACCTGGCTCTGAAGTCACATGTGCAATGTACTGTGAACTGCTCTGCTGTGTAAGCATTTTATTATTAGTCTATCACCACTTACAGCTACAATGTAATGTATTGTTGCAAGCTGTGTGGTCTATATGAATTTCTTTCTCCACTGTGTCAGCGTATCAACAAGTGAAATATAGAACACTGCAGCTTAATTATGCCAGTATATGACAGGATGTGTTGTTACTGAAGGTTTAGCCTTATGTTTTAAACACCTGTACCCTGGGGTTGCAGGTTATGGCCTGTGCCCTAACACAGATATTTCTAACATATGTCTGCTGCAAATGTACATAGCATTTTTCATCTCATGCAAGAAGACTTTGATGTGGTCTGTGTGAAGCTGTCACTCCCATGTGACATTATTCAAAGATCAAAAATAGTTTAGTTCCAAAAACATTGATTAGCATAAAGAGCCAACTCTGTGCCTGTGTTGCATAATGCAGCAGTTTTATATGCACTTCTTCCGTCATGTTTCGCAGTCTTTTTACTCCACATCGGAAACTGAACATGCATAATTTGTTACTGAAATGTACGCTAGTAATAAAGGAATTTACCTTTAACCAACAAGGTGGTTGACAGTGTGGCCTGTGTATGTGTATAATATTATTAGATTATGAATTCATTATTTTGCACTCCCTGTTTTAATTGTTTATGTATTCTTATAGATGGCTGTGCTGTCTAACAGTGCAGGAATCCCAGAGGAGATGACTAGTCAGAAGGTTCATGGATCACCCTTGTTCATACCTGGGCCCCCTGGGCTTCCAGGTAAGTGTTTGGCCTTTTTTCTCTCCTGTTGTGTTCAATCACCATCTCACTGTGGCTGGGCCTTGCTGTAGGAGAACCAGGACCACAAGGACTGAAGGGAAATCTCGGCCCACCTGGCCCACCTGGTCCACCAGGTCCACCAGGTTCAAAGGGTTTGATGGGACCTACTGGGCCTACACCAGACCTCTTCCACATCAAGAGAGGCCCACGAGGACCAATGGTCAGTATATTCCCACTGTTTGATCTTTCTTATTATTCCCAATACAGACAATGGTTACTGTTACTCTGATTATTTTTTGTTTTGATTGTTGTGGAATTTAATATTCATATATGTTTATTAAGTTTGCACTGAATGAGGGTCCATGGACATAGTGACTATAGTGACTGTTTAAAATTGTTTTATGACTTTCTTACAATTTCTTAATTTATACAACTATTTTCAGTTCAAAAAGATAATTGCAGCATGCTTGATTTCCCTGCCATCAGGCTGGTTCGTAAAGATGAGTGCGATGTGTAAAAGATGTGGCATGGTAATGGCAGTAACAACAGTGAGGCAAATCCATTTAGGGTTTTGGCTGTTGTTTTTGGCTCACTGTGTTTCTGTGAACAGATTCTTGTGAGTATAAACCTTTGTGTTGACAAGTGGGCTCCTAGTCAAGAATGTGCAGGATGTGGCAAATGTCATATTAAAGCCGCAGTATTTTCACAGTTCTGTTGCTGATAAATCAGCCTATCAACAACTGCAGTTAGTCACATCAAGGACAGACATTTTTTTTTTACAGATGTAGTGATGGATGTGAGTGTGCATCTGCATGCTTTTACTCACAACTCATGACTTTTGACTAATCAAGCAGGTTCTAAAGGGCTAATCAAAATCTGACTAGTTATTGGGTATAAGGCCATGTCACAGTTACTGTACTTGGCCATTTAATGGCATAATCTTTTATAATATAATGACTTACAGTTGGCAGAGTGGAATCATTTGCTATTAAACTGACTAGCCAAATGCCTCAAAGTAGATATTATTTGACTACAAATTGACATTTTTACAGGGGCCTCAAGGTGCTCCAGGAAGGGATGGCATCAAGGTAAGAGTGACTGCAAAAAATAAAATTAAATTAAATAGATTAAAGTATATATTTAAGTATATATCAAATTAACAAATATGTTGCAAGTAGCTAAAAAAAAGCAGGCAAACCTTTTTTTTTAAATGTACTGATTGTGATTCAGAGCTATCTACTTTTGTCCTTACACCCATAACAATTACAGCGTGTTTGCCCTGTCGTTTTAAAGTATTTCTTGTTTCTATCTTATTTTACTTTCTCTTCTCATGTCTTCATTTTCCACTGTAATTCATCTAAACTAAATATTTGTTTTGATTCCACAGGGGGACAGAGGAGCTCCAGGGCCTGCTGGACCACCAGTAAGACTCGTATTTGTCTTCAGTTATCTGTACTGATGCAACACTTTTTCTACTAGTTGGTATGAACAATGTAGTTCACTCAAACTTGAGAAAAAATATTCCTCTGATGTCTTAGTAAACCTTGAAAGGCTATGTATGAAATACCATACAACATTTTCAGTTATTAATTGACATCAGATCTGAATATTAATAAATATTTTAAGTATATTTTTATTTGAGTTTCACAAAAACTATAATTTATAGAGAAGGATGACAACATTTCTGTAAGTATTTCCCAAAACCACTTTCTTTTTGTTCATTTTACGATATTTAGAGGCTAATCCTAAATATTACTACTGAAATATCATTATGTTCCTTCACTTTTGTGTCCATGTTTTTAAAGATTCTATTAGAAGAAATCGTTCATCAAAAGTTCCTTGCAGCCATCTTGTTAAGTTTTTTTTCACACCCAAGTACTGTACAAGACTAATCTGTAATTTATCGTATCTGAATATGTGATTTTGTTCTGTTTGATTCCAGGGCCCTCCAGGATCGTTTGACTTCCTGCTTCTGTTGATGGCAGATATTCGTAATGACATAGCTGACCTGCAGAGTAAGGTGTATGGGCGAGCAGTGCAGTCTGCTGAGGACTTTCCCTCCATCCCAGACAACTGGAGTGAACGGGACCAGGACTCCGAAATGGGATCAGGGGTAGAGTACAAAGCGCAGCCTTCTCCATCACGAATAGTAGGTACCTCAAGGAGAAATCGAAAAAAGAAACCCACACAACATCCAACAAATATGGACTGGAGAATATGAGGAGAAGTGATATATTTTCTGTTTTCAGATGTAAATTAAGATCAATATATTTTATTGAATTGTTAATATCAAGAATGCAGTGTAGTGTTTTCATTGTTCACAAATGTTTATTTTTATATTTCTATTAAATGTTCTAAACTAATTGACTTAAACACAGTATATGCTCTCTTAATACTTACTACAGAGGAGACCATTAATACATTTGACGTTAACGCTTCAAGTCGGTAATTGCAATCTGTGTCCACACGAGGGAGCCACAGATTAATGTACTCTTAACTACCCCTGCAGTAGCACTTGCCTTACTTAATAACATCTGCACTGTACTGTATTTGAGGAGGGGTGGGCTAAGGACTACTTTTATGTCAAAAATACCATTAGGCCTACAGTATTATATTTCAATCCAACAATTCTGAATAATGTACAGTTTCACTAAGATATAGGACACGTTTATTATTGTTGACATATAGACACTCTCTTGTGATGTGCCCCTTGATTGCAGGCTACATGCTCAACTTAACACCATAACATAATAAAAATAAAAATAAACATAATCATAATCATAATAATCATCATCATCATCATTATCATACTTTTCCTGTGGCCTATGTCATATATGTTACACATTGCTTAGGAACAATATAATATGTATATGCTTTGTTTTTGCAGACAACCACATAGGCAAATGCTTTCTGGATGTAATTAATCACTGATGCTGGTGCACATATTTACTGAAGTGTCCCTTGTCCCTAATTATATGTTCCTACTTGTTCCCCTCATTATTTAGAACTAACCACCAGGAAACAGAAAGAGAACCACAATCCATGACATGCCATGAAAAGAGAAATATTTGATAGTAAATGAATGAGTGAGTCCCTGTCTCATCTCATAATGGGGTAACTTTATTATTTGTACAAAGTCTTGGGGACAGATGAAGGGAAACAAACAGAAAAGGCAGGATAGAGAAAATTAGTGTTACCCAATTCATTAATTAATGCATTACTAAGGGCTGCAAATTAACTGCCCCAAAAATCCTCTATTCAGTGAGATTGTGCTTGAAAAAAACACATTGTTGCCCTCCTACGTAATTAGAGGACAGTGCAAATTCAATTCTAATGAGGCGAAAGCCACCCCTTCAACATTCATCCCCTTATTTTCCTGCATAAAAGGCCTGGACTCTTCTCGAGGCCTAAGTTTAAGGAAGTATTCAGAGTGAGGGAGACAATAATAAGAGATCAGCCTGGCCCTGAGTGCTTTATATGCTGCAAACAGGTAGAGAGGGATTTGAATGGTTCTTTTTACTGGGACTCCTGGGAGGCCTGTCTTCCCAGCACAACAACACTTAGCCCTGAGAAAAAGAGGGTCTGCTGAGGAGGCAAGTGGGTGAATGGGCCTATGCAGCAGCAGGTCACTTCTGAATAGCCACAAGTTTTAAACTGTTGTGCCGGCCCTGTCCAGAGACATACACAAACACATACAGACAGCCTCCACCCTTCCACCTCTCCCTCTCATTGAGTTATCTTTACTTAGGCTTTGTCTCCCCTAATTGGAGCTGATGAGGGACTAATTGGTAGCTTTTTTTTGCAACATCCAGTACTTCAGCAATGGCCAGTCCAAGGGAGGCAGTACGAGCCAAGTTAATGAGAGGCTTTGCACAATTAAAAAGCTTTTTTTTATTTTTTTACTGAAGTTGAGGATTGCTTTTGTGGCATCTACGTAGTTCACTCATGTGCAGGTATCTGAAAAGACCAGTTGGTGGAGGGCATGCAATGATTGCCGCAACACTGAGTACTTGTAGAGCATAAAGAGATCTGGTGGGTATTGTCCACTGCCCATCGTTTAGTGTGTCCACTGGTAATGGGGAAAAGGGCTCCTCATCAAATGAATGTGGCAAAGTCCTGAGTGGCCAACAAGAGCACTCTTTGCTGGACCACACTGAACCGATTTGAAGAAATTGGAAATAAAGGTTTTGCATTATTAAAATGGAGTGTGTGTTTTGTGCTCAGAAACTAGGTATTTAAGAAAGCAAAACTTTCAAATTATATTTCCAAATCAGAATAAGAAAAAAAACTTTACTGCAGTTGTCAGTGAACAAAATTCACAAATGTGCTTCGGCAATTAGTGTAGCACAAAACAATTGATAATAATAGCAAATAAGATTTTTTTTAAAGATATACATGAGATAATGTGTTAGCCATAAAAAAAATAACTATGGACAGAACAATAGTGCAACTAGATAAAGTATTGTTGAAGTAAGTATTTAAAATAACAACTGTAATGAAGTGTTCATGAGTCCAAAGGCAGAGGGGAAGATATTGTTCTTGTGGTGACTGATTCTGATTCGAATGGACTGTAGCCTTGTGCTTGAGGGGAGTGGCTCAAATAGTCTGTGTCCAGGTGAGAAAGGTCAGTTGTGAACCAATCTGCTCACCCCGAAGTCCTAGACATGTCTGTCCCTGGAAGTAGCCCCGGTGGACCAGGAGGAGAAGATGGACTCAAGGATGGCCGGGTAGAACTGCACCATCATTTGCGCTGGCAGCTTACCTCAGTGACTGCAGAAAGTACATCCTCTGCTGGGCCTATTATGTTAGTGTAAATGTGACAATAGATACAGATAACAACAAATGATTAGAGATGCTGAAAAAAATCTACAAGAGATTTGGAGATATAATGAGATGTAATTCATACATTTTATTTCAAAACTATACAAAAGTTGAAGCTTTGTTTCTGTCATTGTTTTGGAAATACATACATGAGTAGATCAACACAACTATGCCAACAACTCAATAATTATATGTTTAAGTACCTCACTACATTAAAGGAGTGAGGTTGGTAATCACTTGACTTCCTCACTGGGTTGTTTTCACAGCAAAAACTCAGTTCATGTGGTAATGGGTTGTTCTGTGCTTTTCTTATATGAATGAACTCCATGCAGTTATTTCTGGCTTTAACAGCAGGAGAGGATAAACAACTCTCCCTTTCTCCCCATGTAGCATATGCTTTTATAATCTATGAGTAGATACAAGCTTTGAGAGAAGGACAATTAAGAGTTAGCATGTTCTAAATGAATGCAGTGTCACCAATTTAAGTACTTTAAACTAGATGGTCTTTTATTGGCAAAATATTGATGTTGACTATCCTAACTGTCAATTGAAAACCACAGGGATCCATTCACAACTTAAACATTTCCATTGTCCACTTCTAAACAAATCCATTAGCACTGCTGTTGTTATTTAAATCCAAGATTTCCTGACAATTAATGCAGCTGGAGTCTCAGGAAGTTCTCAGACAAAAGACAATCTTGTGTTTCAATGTTTCTTTATTTTATTCAGTTAGATATGTTCATTAGAAACTCAAATTGAAATACACCGACATCCCAAAAAAGATACTACATACTAGCAATCCATACAGCAAATGAATAATAATCTAAAAGTATTGCCGGACACTCTCAACATGGAATATAATTACAAATGACCACCAAATGGTTTTAGATATTCATGAGTCAAAGAGCAAGTGCAAAGTACAGGCTTATAACTCTAGAACATCTATAGACAGAAACTTTGGCTGATTAAGAGCTAAACCCCCGACCTGTGTCAAAACAATTGCAGCTGTTCTATTAGGTAGTTTCTTGAACCTGCAATTAAGCCCACCAGAAAGTCATGTTAAGCCTGCTGAGGACAGAGGGGAAAACAGCTGAAAAGAAAGTGAGTGGTGCATAATTGTGTCAGCTTCATCTCCCACAGAGACTTTCACTCTGCAGTGAAAGCTCCTACAGCAACAGGACTGTGTCCGCTAACCTTTGACTATTACAGGATTACAAGGCACATACTAATTGTAAAACAATGTTGTTAATGCGCAGAAGACACCACATGGTTTGAACTATGAATGTCACTGTTGTGAGCTGGGGTCAAAGCTCCAGAATACTGAATGGGCATGCTAAATCTTAGAATGAATGACTAGAGACAGGCACTTGGTGATTTCTCAGACTGATATTTGCATTTTAGCATGTTGACTATCTGCGTAAAAATTCCAGCATAGGCTGATATTTTATTTGGACTGACCAGAGTATGGTTGTATAGGCAGAATTTGCTTCAGTCCATCAAAGGGGCTGCTGCACTAAACTGAGGTTTGCAAGGCAAAAGAGCTTCAGAAGACTTAAAATGGTTGGTGTAGCCTATATAGTATTTTCTTTAGTTATAGCCTGCTTTACTAATGTAATACTGTGCACTGGATAGATATTTAATTATTATGAAGTTATTTTTATTGTATCAACATTGGCACAATGGCTAGTGAATAGGTCCTTTATCTATAGGCTATGTCTCTACCAAGCTCTATTATTGGATAAAAAAAATTGTCCTACTTTACTTCTCAAGCCTCTATAATAAGGCAATCTAATCATACTCCTGAAAACACTAATAATTGACTGCCTAGCAAGGATTGAATATAATATGCTTGCCATAGCCAGTGAAATTTTCAGAAGTAACCTAAATGCACTCCTTTTTTTGTTTTGTTTATACTTTAGGTAAACATGTACCGCCACATTGTTCAACTGTCCTTGCCCAACCCTGAAGGGGCATTATGCACTGGCAAAGGGCGTTTGTTCTATAGGTTACAGGGCCAGACAGTCTATTATGCCATAGCTAATATTGTCATTTAGTTCACAGCTTAATGATAAATTAAGCTTTAGTTTGAAAGAAAAATGACTAGATCAATAATTTACCCAACTAGAATCAAGTCACTATAAACTAGGCCTATCGTTGTTGATTTAAATATTTTATCGCCCATGCCCTTCTATTTTATTTTATTCATTTACAACTATTGTATTTATAATCCTCCCAAGCATAGCCTATTTACATTTGTCGGTTAGAGGTTGCATTGGCACATTTACCAACCTCTGTTCTAGAAAACGCTACAAAAAACGGTACCAAAAAACCGACCAATGAGAAAACGCCCTGTTGGCTACTCTCGTCCCGTCATGCTCGTGGTGTAGCGCTACGTCAGCA